GACGTTCATCAGCCGTCGCACATTATCCGCTATCCGACGAAGTCGGATTGCCTACCAGGGTGACTACGACCTACGTAGAGGAAGGTGACTGACCTGCTAGACTCCAAAACATATTTTCACGTAAATTATACACCCAATCCTCGAACCGGCCGTCACACGTCGTCACGTTGTCTACCAGGTGACTACGTCTCACATCGATTCGGATTGCCTACCAGGGTGACTACGACCTACGTAGAGGAAGGTGACTGACCTGCTAGACTCCAAAACATATTTTCACGTAAATTATACACCCAATCCTCGAACCGGCCGTCACACGTCGTCACGTTGTCTACCAGGTGACTACGTCTCACATCGAGTCGGATTGCCTACCAGGGTGACTACGACCTACGTAGAGGAAGGTGACTGACCTGCTAGACTCCAAAACATATTTTCACGTAAATTATACACCCAATCCTCGAACCGGCCGTCACACGTCGTCACGTTGTCTACCAGGTGACTACGTCTCACATCGATTCGGATTGCCTACCAGGGTGACTACGACCTACGTAGAGGAAGGTGACTGACCTGCTAGACTCCAAAACATATTTTCACGTAAATTATACACCCAATCCTCGAACCGGCCGTCACACGTCATCACGTTGTCTACCAGGTGACTACGTCTCACATCGAGTCGGATTGCCTACCAGGGTGACTACGACCTACGTAGAGGAAGGTGACTGACCTGCTAGACCCCAAAACATATTTTCACGTGAATTATACACCCAATAAAATCGAACCGGCCGTCACACGTCGTCACGTTGTCTACCGTGACTACGTCTCACATCGAGTCAGATAGCCTACCCGGATAACAATTTTTTTTCACGTTATTTATTCTTTAATTTTGCATTTTCGTTAACAGTAATGGACGCTGTGATACTTGATGACGTTCATCAGCAACCGGTTCATGCAAAATTAAAGAATAAATTACGTGAAAAAAAGTTGTTATCCGGGTAGGCAATCCGACTCGATGTGAGACGTAGTCACCTGGTAGACAACGTGATGACGTGTGACGGCCGGTTCGAGGATTGGGTGTATAATTTACGTGAAAATATGTTTTGGAGTCTAGCAGGTCAGTCACCTTCCTCTACGTAGGTCGTAGTCACCCTGGTAGGCAATCCGACTCGATGTGAGACGTAGTCACCTGGTAGACAACGTGACGACGTGTGACAGCCGGTTCGAGGATTGGGTGTATAATTTACGTGAAAATATGTTTTGGAGTATAGCAGGTCAGTCACCTTCCTCTACGTAGGTCGTAGTCACCCTGGTAGGCAATCCTACTTCGTCGGATAGCGGATAATGTGCGACGGCTGATGAACGTCATCACGTTCATTACTGTTATCGAAAACGCAAAAATAAAGAAGAAATATTTCGGGCGTCCATGCATATCATATAGCCACCGCCTTTTTTTGGGTGTCTAGCAGGTCAGTCATCTATGTTATCCGATAGTCAATCCGACCCCGTGTCGATCGACTTGATGTTGGTCGTAGTCACCCGGGTAGACAACTTGACGATGTGTGACGGCCGGTTCGAGGGAATCGTGCCGCCGTGATCTGTTGAGTGTCTAGCAAGTCAGTCACCACCTTGATTGATGATAACATCGTTAAATGCGTAAGCAATCCGACTAAACGTCAGATAAAAGATCCACCACTCCGAAGCCGGGTCGAAAATGAAAATAGTATTTTTACCGTGCCCAAAAATTACTGATAAGGCCCGTAATCACTTACGAATAATTGAAGGTGTCCTGAAATAATAGCATACTGTATTTCCATCAAGAATTTCAGCGTTGCATTGCCGAAGGCGCAACGATATGGAAACGGAACTCGGTCAGCTGGTTGTGGTTTTGTTTCCACGCACCAACATGGTGTTAGAACCAATGTCTCCCGTATTATGTAAACGTTTGTTAAAAGTCGCGCCAACAGTAACTGTATACGGTATAAGGCAGTTGGAAATCTAAGACGACACATAATTTATTATAATATATTGATAAGTAGGTATTGGTACGTGTTGGGTGAATTACTTGTGTACGGAAACATCGATAATGTTCTCCACAATTCCGCATAGCACACATCGTTTGACCATTTTGAATAGCCTAAAAGCATCACGAACAGGTTATAGTAATAATAAGTAAAAAGTGAATACTAAATATGAAAAACTCGTCATAAAAAAAAAACGTTGCAATCGAATACAACGACTGTTGTCTGTTGTAGGTATCAGTTATTGTTATCAGCGGTGAGGTATGAGACTCGCGTGTTATTTTTAGAATTAATAGGTACACACCGGCTTACGTGATGTACATAAAAAAATAGAAAAATACGAAAAATGACATACCCAGCTCGTAATTGCACAATTAACTGTTAAGTGTTAACGCAAAATGTAAAGCGATAAAACACGTAGGTACCGCAATGGTAACGCGAAGAAACAGCCAACGGACTTAAACATCGACTACAGCGACTGGATAATACACAACTAATACGAATGCGGATATAAAAAAGTTATAGGTATTCAAAGTACATTTCCGGTGTACGAAAAAAACACGAAACGCGCCATGATGTCTGTAGCTGGTGCAAACATATAGAATCAGTAGTTTATCTGAATATTATATAGTAGTAGATATTATTATAGAAGTTGTACTCACCGGGTATGTGAAAAGCGCCCAAAAGACAACAAAACTCAAAGAAAAACACTGAATGTTAAATAACACGAAACGTATTTGGGTTTTCCGTGAGAGTCGATGTGCGTTGTACGAGCGCCGATCACAAGAGGCAGGTCGAAACGGGCGCGCTTCGCGTCGACAAAGTTTCCCCCCCCGCACTCACTCCATCCCACTCCGCGGCCCACTCGCATAATGTCGCGTATATTAACGGGCATATTATGTAGACAGTATCGTATAGTTTAGTCATATCATTATACAATTTACCTGCCAGAATTTAATTAAATACATTAAGGGCCGTTCTTACGACGTCCGGTTAAAGTTAACCGACACTTAACCGGAAGAATTCTGCCGGTAATAAAATCTGTTATCAGTCGGTTAGCGTTAACCGACACTTTACAGGACATTGTAAGAACGGCCCTAAGTTATATTTTGTTTATTGATATACCTACATAATTTGACTCACCTAAAAACTGTAAAAGTACCTACTACATAGTATATTATATACCATTGGAGTACCTGTGCCCTACTACTTTATTTACTAATTTTATTTCACTATCAATTCATCTACTTACTATATAGGTACCAATAATATGTTAACTGAAATAATTTTTATAATATTATGTGTAGGTACTTTATTTATATTTTTGGCCCAATGAACGAAAATGTATACTAATATCACTATTAATTCATGTACATACATATAATATGCTTAAATTATATAACTATACTATTATGTATATACATAGGTACATCTATAAAATACATTAGTCATATTATGTAGGTACATAATATATATATCAATTTATTATTCATAAATTATTACATTTGATATTAAATAAATAAATATACGTGATAGACCATAGACCTATATTATATTGAGTAATATCAAATTATGTCATATCATTATACAATTGAACCATCAGAGTATTATATACTTTTTGAAAAATATAGGTGCGTTGTTCATGGTAAATGTGTCAAGTATTAACTAAATACTTATTAAATACTTATAGTATAGTCATATGATATGACTAAATTCATATAATTCATATTTTTAATATCCCCTAAAAATTTAGTACCTACTACATAGTATATTATACATATATATATTATATTAATTACATATTACAATATGCCCAGTTCATATATTATAACACTATACCGTTTAACACACAATGCAAACTATTAGAAAAAGACATATTTTATATACCAACCAATACCAACCAATACCAATGATATAATTAATAGTAAATAGTATTTCATTTAAACTTTTAGACCAATGGACCAAAATATGTACTGATTTCACTTTGTACATACATAATATTATGCTTAAATTATATAAATATATCATTAGGTATAAACATACATCTATATAATAAATAGTACATAATGTATCTATATATCAATTTGTTATTCATAATTTATTAATTTGAAACTCATAATTAAATTAATATACACTATAGACCTACCTATATTTTGAGCAATAACAAATTATGTCAAATACAATTTAACTATCAGAGTATTATATACTATCTGCAGCAGTATTTGTATCGTACCTCAACCAAACTGTGATATATTAAGTAGGTACCTACTACAAAGTATACATGTACCTAGGTTAGTAGTTATATTGTACTTGCACTATTGTTTATTGAAGTATAAAGGAAACATATATATGCATTGGATAAAATCAAGTGTAAATTAAATATTTATTATTATTATTTATTAAATAGTTTAATAAGTATAGTAATATTTAAATACGTTAAGTTATATATTAAATAGCTACTACATCAAACGATCAAACCTATCCATATAAATAATATCAAAGAGAGTAGTTAGGTATATTATAATAATCTTACAATTTAACTACCAGAATTTAATCATTTCAATTAGATCTATTAGTTTATAAATATTATTATATCAAATAGTATTTATAATCTGTAGCAGTGTTAACTAAATATTTATTATTATTATTATTTATTAAATAGTTATAGCATAGTCATATAATTTAATTAAACACATTAGATTATATTTTTAATATACATAATTTGACTCACCTAAAAACTGTAATATATTAAGTACCTACTACATAGTATAATATATATATATTTTTATAAAATAAATATATCAATAGGTATAAAGATACATGTGTAAAGTGTGAGTTGGTCAGACTGTTCTAGCTGGACACTAGTCCTGAGCGGGAATGCCAGTACTGTCTAGTAGTCTAGGAGTCTCGACTAGACGTTCACCGTAGTCATTAGTCAGTAACAGTTTTCATGTAAAAATGTATTCTTGTTTGTACAATAAATAGCGAATGGTTAAAGAAGTAATGGGTTGTACTTCTTTTAATTATATATTTAACAAATTCAGAAGTGGGATTGTGGATTCGGTACCACAAAGTGGATTCGTGAGTGAACGTGTCGTTAAGTGTGGTTCGATCGGTGTCGAACACGTGGATTGCAACGACTTGCAGGAAGACTTCGAACGTGTCGATTGTAGTCGAACGTTGAAGCCAGCGTTGTCTCTAACAAAATCATCGAAGTCGGTGCTTCGGTAATTGCGTAAATTCTGTTGGTTGCGGAATATCGGACACGAGGTCTTGTCGGTTAAGACGAACGTCGAGTGGTACAAGTGTCGTGTACGAGAAGTGTCGCGAATTTGGAGGTTAAGTTCGAGTGTCGCGCCGGAGTAAGTGTCGTAACCCAACCAGTTACCGCGACAAATTATCAACTGTACCGATAGTGATAACGATGGTTAATGATAAGGAGACAAGTTCACAACAACAACAACAACAGCCGGTAAAAGCGCCGACGTATAATGAGTTGATGATGTTGATCGGAGAATTACGCGAACGGTTACAAGTTGCCGAAAAAGCAGCGGAACAAACGAAAAGTGACAATGCGTCGGTTTCGAGCGTGAGTACGGGTAAATGCAACGAGATTCGCATGTTCGCAAATTTAGACAACTCCGTAAAAGTGTTTACGGGTAGCGAGTCAAATTATGATGCTGCAGACTGGATACAATCCGTTGAAAGCATGGCTGACCTGAATGCATGGCCGGTTGCGTATAGAATGCAGTTCGTAAGGTGCAATGTGACGGAAGCGGCCAGAGACTGGTTTCTGTAGAGAGAGTTTGCGGACTGGGGCGATTTCGTCAAACAATTTCGGGCTACATTCGTGCGTAAAATGTTAGTCTCAGACTGTTGGGATGCCCTGAAAAATCGGATACAAGGGAAAGAAGAACCTGTCATGAAATATTTCCAAGAAAAGGTACGTTGGTGTAGAGAACTATCACTTGGTTTTTCCGAAACACGAGACTATGTAATTCGGGGACTGAACAAGTGGGAACTCGCGCAATATGCGTTAGGAAGAGATCACAAAGATCTAGACGATTTATTACATGATTTACTAGACTGGACTCGCATGTATACGGTCCGTGGTGAACAAACGAGGTATGTAAAACCAGATAAAGACGTGAAAAAAGATTTTGGACCACGAAGCTACAAATTTGTACCGAAATCGAACGACGATGCGGGTGCAAAGGCGACGGAAACGGCTGACATCGCCGGGGGATCGTCAGAACACGAGCCAAGTTGTTGGAAATGTCATAAAGTGGGACATGTTCCGAAGGACTGTCCTGTGAAACACAAAAGTGCCGTGAAGTGTTATTCATGTCAAGGAGAAGGACATTTTGCGAGACAATGTCCAAAGCGGCGGACGACGAATTCGGTGGCGGAACCTAAAAAAATCGCTTCACATCCTTATGAAAAATGTGGGACGGTCAACGGGCAGAGTGTGAAAGTTTTGATTGATACGGGCAGTCATTATTCATTAATTAAGACTTCAATCGCAGAAAAATGTAGACTCCCGATAACTGAAATCAACACTAGTTTGTATGGAATTGGTGACGTGAACAATCCCTCAGTGACTATTAGTGGTAGGATAGTGTCCACAATTGTCGTTGATGAAGTAGAGGCGGGTCCTGTACAATTGCTGATAGTTCCGGATAATGCACAACAATCAGATGTAATCGTCGGACGGAATTGGCTTGACGATCCAGCAGTACTTTATTGGAAAGAAGATGGACAAATGAAATTAGCAAAGTCAAAAGACCAAATTGGGATACGAGACACCACAGCTACGAGTGTAGACGGACATATCGATGTATTACAAGTGATCGCGTTGGACAGTGGAGTGGATAGACGACCATTGACCATTGATGATTTCAAGTATGTAAATGCTGAAGTAACACCAAATGAGCAACGCTCACTGATAGATTTAGTTAACGAGTACAGAGACTGTTTCGCGCTTAATTTAAAAGAATTAGGTTGTACTAGTTTGACTAAGATGGAACTACATGAGGTAGAAGGCAGTGCGCCTGTGGTCTGTCGTCCTTATAAGACTACAGCGACCGATCGGGAAGCGATCGCTGAGATTGTACGAGACTGGAAGGAACATGGAATAGTAGTTGAAACAGAGTCGCAGTATGCAAGTCCAGTCATATTAGTGAAACAAGGTGACAAAAATCGACTGTGTGTTGACTACAGACAACTGAATAAACAGGTGAAGAGGCACAACTTCCCACTACCGGATATGCATGAACAAGTCGAGGCATTGGCGACAGGCAAGTACTTCGTGCAGTTGGATTTGGCGACTGGTTATCTTCAATTACCATTAACCGAAGACGCTCAGGAGAAGACTGCGTTCGTCACGCCTGACGACACAGGACAGTTCACACGCATGCCGTTTGGGTTGGCGGAGCACCTGGAGAGTTTACGAGACTAATGCATCGTGTATTAGGTAAGCTACGCAATACTGTTGTTAAAAACTACCTAGATGATTGGGTCATTGACGCAACCAGTTGGTCAGAAATGTTGGAAAAACTGAAAGAGGTGTTGATTCGATTGCGTTTTGCCAATCTGACTCTAAAACCAGGCAAGTGTTCACTGGGTGCTAATCACATAGAATTTTTGGGTTTTGTCATTGGTGGAGGAACAATATGTCCGGGAAATGCGAAGACGAGAGCGGTACAAGAGTTTCCGACTCCGAATGACGTTCATGCAGTACGCAGGTTCCTAGGGTTAACAGGTTTCTTCCGGAGGTTCGTGGAGAACTATGCCACAATAGCGCTACCACTGTCGAATCTGACAAAGGCCGGGACAACATTCGTGTGGAATGAGCCACAGCGGGAAGCATTTGATAAACTAAAAAGTGTTCTGGTAAGTAAACCGGTGATGAAAATGTTTAACCAAAATGCTTTTTCAACAGAAGTACACACAGATGCCAGTTCGGTGGGAATAGGAGCAATGCTGTTACAACGGGACAAAGATGGTGAAGCACCGAAGTTGGTGTACTGTATCAGTAAGAAGTTAACTGAGGCGGAGTCAAAATACCACTCAGGAAAATTGGAATTAATGGCTGTGATATGGGCGGTGAATAAGTGGCGTATTTTTTTACTAGGCGTTAAATTTACAATACTTACAGACTGTCAAGCCTTGGTTTATCTGAGGGCTCACCGAGCTCTGAGACCTCAAATCGCCAGATGGCATGATCTGCTACAAGAATATGAATATGACATTCAACATCGGCCGGGGAATAAAATGGCACATGTGGATGCATTGTCAAGAGCGCCAGTGACGGAGAGCGACGGCACAACTTTGAATGATGTACTCGCGGAGAGACTGGACGTTTATGTGACCATTACTCAGGAGGAAAGAGTGCTGATTGCACAAACTGCTGATGAGGACATCAAAGATATAATCAAGATACTGAAGAAGCCCGAAGAAGAGAGAACTAAGTCGGAAAAAGCTCAGGCACGTGGATTTGAACTACAAGGGCAACTACTGTATCGATTCCACAACGGGAAGAAACTATTTGTTATGCCAAAGAGTATGCGGAAGAGCATAACGGTTGTGGCACATGATCTGTGTGGTCATTTATCAGTAGAGAAGACAGTGAGCCAAATCTTGCAAGATTATTGGTTCTCAAAGTTGAGAAGATATGTGCGAAGACATGTGAAGATGTGCATAGAATGTTTAATGTCTAAGAAACCAAGAGGTAAACAACCAGGACCACTACATCCTATTCCAGTGGGAAGACGTCCATTCGATACGGTTCACATGGATCATATAGGACCATTTGTGACTACTCCAACAGGAAATAAGTATATACTAGTCATTGTTGACAATCTCACAAAGTTTACATGTTTGTTTGCAGCAAAAGACACAAGTACTAATGGTACGATCGACAACTTGACAACGTTAGTGCAAATGTTTGGACTGCCTAACCGTTTGGTCACTGACAGAGGAACATGCTTTACGGCCAGAAAGTTTGAAGAGTTCTGTGAAGAGAAAGGGGTACACCATACGTTAACCTCAACGCGAAGACCACAAGCAAACGGGCAAGTAGAACGTACGAATAGTATTGTGCTGTCTATGTTGGTGGCGCAGGTTACGAAAGAAGATGAATGGGACCAGTGGCTGCCAGTAGTACAGATGCAGATCAATAACAGTGAGAGCAAGGTAACTCAGAGGACGCCATTCGAACTGTTACATGGGTACCGACCTCGGTTTAGACTGGGGAAGACAAGAGAACTATCAGAAACAGTAGACACTTGGACGTGTCCAAATGAACTGTGGGAGGAGGCCAGGGAAGCTTCTGAGAGGTCAAAAGCAAAAATGAAAGAAGACTATGATTTGCACCGACACAACAACACTAAGTATACGGTTGGAGAAATTGTTGTGATGACGACAGTGCCTACTCATACAGGGCAATCAACCAAATTGCAAAATAAATACAGGGGACCATTGACAATCACAGAAGTATTGCCAGGAGATGTCTATCGAGTTGCTCAACTACAAGAAGATCAGAAAAGACTGTTTACAACAACAGCACATGTATCTCAGCTCAAATCTTGGAGGTTGGAGGATGAACCAGACGAAGCGAGTGATACCAGCGAGGAAGAAGGACGAGGGCCAAATGGTGCGACTAGTTGTGAAGATGATGCTGATCCACCACCTGCAGAACACCAGAAGAATGGCAAAGAGGTCAGGAAATCGGACAGGGTCAGGAAGAAGCCTACAAGATTAGACGATTATGTCTAACGACACTTATGATAACTAAGATAATTAATAATGTTTTGTTTGTTTGTTTGTTTTTTTTTTTTGTTTTGTTTATTTATATTTTGTATATCATGTTAATATGCTATGAGGACATAGCAAGGCAGGAAGGCCGAGTGTAAAGTGTGAGTTGGTCAGACTGTTCTAGCTGGACACTAGTCCTGAGCGGGAATGCCAGTACTGTCTAGTAGTCTAGGAGTCTCGACTAGACGTTCACCGTAGTCATTAGTCAGTAACAGTTTTCATGTAAAAATGTATTCTTGTTTGTACAATAAATAGCGAATGGTTAAAGAAGTAATGGGTTGTACTTCTTTTAATTATATATTTAACAAATGTATATAATAAATAGCACATAATATATATATATATATATATATCAATATGTTATTCATAATATTACCAACAACTCAACCTCAACCAAACTGTGATATATTTAATAGGTACCTACGACAAAGCATACATGTAAGTTAGTCATTATTATCGCGTCGAATCGCGGACGGCGTTCATAACTGTCACCGAAAAATTTGAGAGGGGTCAAAAGTACCCCGACTATGGGGGGACTATTTAGAGGGTCTTGAAACGTAAATTTTGGTGGTAAAACGGGGGACCCAAGTCGAAACGTGACAGAGATATACTTAAATCAAAAAAAGGAGGGGGGGGGGGTAATTTTTGATATGGTATGCACGTGGTCACCCACAACCCATAGCCGTTTACAAAATACGGCTACGACGATCCCCGGCTAAGTTATGCTCGGCCAAAAAAAATTTGATTGGTGGGGGGGTCAAAAGTACCCCGACTATGAGGGGGGACTATTTAAATATGATAATACGGAACTGATGGAGAAAAGACGAAAAAAAAAACGCGAAAAAAAACTCAAGATTATCACGGCCGCCGCAAATCTTCGATATCGCCGGGGGACGGTATCGAACCCACGACTCCTAGTTACATGTCCTAGCGCCCTAACCTATCGACTACCTACTCAGATGAAATATCGTGTCAAATCTATGACTATTAAGCGGCGTCGCCGTGCACCCGAAACTGGAAAGCGGCGTCCACGTCCGTCAAATGGCGTCCGAGCGGGGGGGTCGAACGCGTCGGTAAGGGGACGACCGGCTTCGGAAGTTCGATTCGGTGAGATTCGCGAAAAAAATCGGACGTCGAGACGCATGTATTTATGCCTGTATATAGCACACACACGACGTACCCACTCGGTACCTACTCTCGTTTACGCGTCGCCGCTCCTCCCCGGGACTCGTTTTTGAAAAAGTAGGACTGCGGGCCGGCTATAAATTTAGCGGGGAACTCGAATACGTCTTCGGCGGGGAGGCGAAAAGTCTACAAACGAAGCGAAACGCGACTCTGTTGGAAAAAGTCGGAAAAACCGTCGAAATCGTGACGACGCCGCGGCGTCGGCGACTGTCTAGTCGGATGAGGGGACTCATTTTTGAAAAAGTAGGATAGCGAGCCGGCTACAAATATAGCGAGGAGCTCGAATATAACGCGAACGGGGACGCCCGGGGCCCCCGAGGGGGGTAAAACTCGATATTTCGAAAAACACGGCGAAAAACGCGTGCGACGGCGGCGCTCGTATCGCGCGCGAGATCGGCCGCCGCGGGCCCGCCGGGAAGAAAATACGGCCGCGCGCGGCCTGTAAATCTAGCGGGGAACGCGAATAAGGTCACAGCGGGGAGACCCCGGGCCCCCCGAGGGGGTAAAACTCGAAAAACTCGAAAAATTTCGAAAAATTTCGAAAAAATCTCGAAACAGTGATAAGAAAGGCTGATTACGCAGCGACGGCTCCGCCGCCGCAGGGAGACCGCCCTCCGGGGAAATTGAATTTTCTCATTGGCTCTCTCTTACGATGGTTCGGATTTAACGCATAGGCGGCGCCCTCGGTTTCTTGCTTTATAGTATAGAGACTAGCTCTAAGTATAACTCGGGGCCCGTTGGACTCGATGAGAGTGGATACCGATTTTGGAGACTATGTTGTTGGAATTATAAAATTCGCAAAGGTTGTAAGACGAAAGTTTAGAATTTGTGAAAAGGAGTAGTGACATGGATTGGAGATAAGGCTTGGCGCTTTGGCGTAAATGTTTAAAAGTTTGAGCGTCTAGCAATCCGTCACGAACGTTGTAAATGGATACGATCTCTAGGATCTCTAGGCGTTTGTCAGCTGCTTTTGGTTGTTGAAATTGTTAAAAAGCGTAGAGTCGATATGTGTATTTGATTGTCTAGCTATCAGTCATAAAATCACATCGGTGAGCAATATGCGAAGCGTATATTATCAGGTATGCACTCCACCTGCGGTGGATTGCGGACCCCGTTAGTCGCGCAGATAAGTGAATAATCAAAAATATAGATTCTAGTTGGCCTATGAGACACGCTGAATTTGGGGGTACCGATTTTGGAATAAGAGTCGTTTCAATCATAAAAGTAGCGACAGTCGTAAGATGGAAGTTTAGGATTTGTGATAAGAATTAGTGATATGGATTGGAGATAAGGCTTGGCGCTTTGGCGTAGATGTTTAAAAGTTTGAGCGTCTCTGCGTCTAGCAATCCGTCACGAACATTGTAAGTAGATACGATCTCCAGGATCTCTAGGCGTCTGTCAGCTGCTTTTGGTTGTTGGAATCGTTAAAAAGTGTAGAGTCGATATGTGTATTTGATTGTCTAGCTATCAGTCATAAAATCACATACGTAAGCAATATGCGAAGCGTATATCATCAGGTATGCACTCCACCTACGGTGGATTGCGGACCCCGTTAGTTGCGTAGATAAGTGAATAATCAAAAATATAGATTCTATTTGACCTATATGAGACTCGCTGAATGTGGGGTCATCGATTTTGGAAGTATTGTTCGTGCCTGTTGTAAATCGAATGTTGGATAATTGTTCTAATGGATAGGATTTATGATAACGCGTTTAGTGACATGAATTTAAGATTGAGATAAGATTTGATGCATTGGAGGAAATGTTTAAAAGTTTAAGTGTCTAGCTATCAGTCATCAACGGTGTAAGTACGCATATCTTACACTTCTTTTTTGTGGTTTTTGGGTCTGTCCAAAAGTTTGAAGTAAAAAAAAACCATTTACCTAATCGATTGTCTAGACTATCAGCGCACTTTGTTCAACGTGTAATTATGATCCATATTGCACCAGCCCTTTTTGTAAGTAAAAAAGTGTACGTCGATAATTCGATTATTAAGTCGATATTTATAAAGTTCATTAATTTACAAAAAATAGTAAATCCCAAAGTATATATTTATATAAATGTGTGTTTATTGTATGATAAATGATAAAAACATATTATAAACACAATTAGGTGTACTAATAAATTACACTGTCTTAATGTACCTAATTAATTCCAAGAAAATAAATATACGATCATTGTGATGATCAGATCAAGGCTATTTAGTGCATGTAATTAACACAATTAATCATAGGGATGTCAATATTAAAATCCATTTGAATATGGTACATTGCCATTTTTGTTGTTTTGTTTAAAAATATAATATGTTTAGTATACATACCTATATCTATTACATCGTTTTTAATAAAAGTATAATTTAACTTAACCTATATTGCAGTATGTCATTGATACTATTAAAATTATTTATTTATTTTAGCAAATTGTGTGCGTAATGGAACCGTTTGATTTAGTATGGTATGTATAATATATTGAATCAAAAACAGTAGGTAAACAATATTTTAAACAGAAAGTCGGGTGTTAGTTACATACAGCGTCGGATCATAGCTTTTTAACACCCGGGGAAAATTAAAAAAAATTCGCCCATCTCAGGGAGATGACCAGAATTAGTATTTTTTTTTTACGAAAAATCAAGCACACTCACACAGTACTGCGAGGAACTGAGGACCAACATTCACAAAACCTTTCCAAATGTACTGCAGGACCAATCATTTATTTACCACAAATAATTTGAACGATTTTAACTTGAAAATGAAACATTTTAAATTTTAAACTATTCACGTAATATAGTTTTAGAAGCACTTCTTAATGGTGTATTTAAAGCTAAAATCTGTGGTCAATATTTCTAAGTTCCAGGTTTAGAATAAATAATATTGATAATAATAACATGTATGAATTATTTATTAACAAATCTAAATTAGGTATCCATTGCTTACTTTTAATATAGGAAAAAGAACAATATTTAATTTACAACATACCTATCAATATTATACATTTTCATTTTTAATATTTGTTACAATCAAAACTTAATAATATGTACCTAGGTACGGAATAAATACAATGAAACAAAAATGTAATTATGTACTGAATATTGTAATCTAATGATTATAACACGACAAAGAAATATTTATCATGGATTATTATTTACGGATTGAATGTAGATACCTATATACTAAAATAACTACATTCTACATTTTAAAAATTTCCAGAATAATAAGGACCTGGTTGTCTGTTTGACATCTTGAACTATAAAAATAATTTAGACAAAAAACACAGTTTATAATAAAAAAAAAAACGAACCAAATAGAATATAAATTTCCTATTAAATTATTTTAATATAATATGTAAAACATAATATTCAATCTGTCTTGGGCTACAATCAATAGGATAGTATTTTTGTTTCAATTATTTAATTATGTTGTACTTTTGTAGTATCAAGTTTATCAAGTAAATTAATAGTTGTATACTTGTACAATTGTACCCATTTAAAAAGCAAACACAAATGACAAATTATATTCCATTTTGTGTTCTGTTTCATTTATCTAGTGGCCATGGTGATATTTATAAAAAGACATTAATTGTTAAATACAAAGACTTTTATAAGCCTGGGTACAAACGTGTAATTTAATAAATAATCTGAAAACAATTAAATCATTAGTACCTAAGTAACATTTTATGTAGTACATAATTTTATGCAGTACCTACCTATTTGGAAAAATATATAGTTGTTAATTTAAAATCACATAACATTGAATTACAATTAATAGTACGATTTTTAAG